TCCTAACAGGACCTTAAGTCATTTCCCCCCAAAACTTACCAGCTCATCTAACTATGGCATTTGAAGAAATTCATCTCAATAAGGAACGTAAGAATTTGTTTGTGTTTGGAAAGCATATTTTTAAGTATATATGGAGTTAATATACTATTTCTCATCCTTTCTGCTTTTATTAAAGAACTAGAGGCCCAGTGCACAAATTCGTGCACAGGTGGGGTCTGCCCCCCCCCCCATTGAACTCCTGGTCTAGGGGACAATTTGCATATTAGTCTTTTATTATATAGGATAGGATGCTGTCCTCAGAAAGAAATGATCATTTCTTTGAAAGGTTGTAGGAAGATGAAAACAGGTGGAAAATAGTTTGGGGTGTTCTTTTTACTTAGGATGCTGTCCTGACTCCATCATCATATAGCTGAAAAATCAAGTATTATACACACATCTACAATGCCAGCAACTTATTCTGAAAAATCCAAACTAAAAAAAAACCAAAAACAACTAAAGACTAAACGAGCCTTCACTTGCTCCCTAACTCCATCCTTGAGAGACTAAGGAGGAAGCACAGTACATGTGGGTGATGCACCAGGAGTGGGGCCTGTGAATGTGAGAAAGATTTAAACTGTCTGACAATTCAGAGACGGAAGACAGCCCTAATGTACAGATAAAACCCCAAGTGAAAACAGTCCATCATGCTGCTGGCAGGCAGTGGCACTGACTCGCTGGAGACAAATCTGGATCTACTTAAAATGTCAGGTGAGCCAAGTAATGAGTCTTCGCTAAGTAGGCCCCAGCAGAAGGAGCCTTCATGGTCCGCTTGGCAGTTGAGTATATATTACTGCAAGCCTGTTAAATAAATGAGTATTTAATACCTATTGGATTACAAAGAAACCCACTTACTCTAACAAGATCTACTTGGTTTTTTTAGGGAGAAAAGATAAAATGTTATCGTCAGAAATGAGATGCTTCGTATAGCAAACAGAACTCAACACTGTGATGAGTGTTATAAAATATTTAAAATATCCAAGCATGTTTATGAGAAATGTAATTTTCCAGAAGGAAATGGAGTGGCTTGTGATGTTTCCATTGGCCAGAGAGAGAGAACCTGTGCTTGCTATTTCAAATCCTAGAATCTCTGAGTGGAAAGAGATCTAAGCCAGCTTGTTAGTCTAGCCCAGCTTCAGAGAAAACAAACAAAAAACAGGAAAAATACATGGTAAAACAGGTCCCAAAATGCTGAGAAGAAATGGAAGTCAAACATTTATTCAGCCATGTTTTTATCTAAAATTTTTTGGAAAACAGCCATTTTCCAGGGCTTAAAGATGAACAATGAATTTAATTGCATCATTGGATGTTAATTGTAAATGGGTAGCAATTTAAAAAACAATTTAAAGTATTTTCAACTTTATTTTTTATTAATTTTAGAGGGAAACAGCACAAAGACAATGACTTCTTATAAATAACATTCTTAAACATTAAGTTTATTCTTCCGTTCTTTGTTGTACTATTAATATAGCTTTCTACCAAAATAAAATAAAATAATCCAAAATATTCCTTGCTAACCAACTCCATTTTACAATACCAATTTAGGTCATCTTTTTTTAAAAAAGAAAAAGTACAGGAAGAAATGGTTTTTAAAAGTATGTCAACAATGATTTTTCTCTTTTTTGAAACATCTGCTCAAAATGAAAATATATTGAAGAGAAGCAATTGTCAGTTCAATTAATTACAAGAATATCAATTCACAATGTTAAAATAGACATTAATAAAATGCAATGTTTTGCAATTATGTCTGTATGTTGCACACTTACGTGCCCTGTCAACACACACATATGTATACATTATGTTTATCTTTAACCCTATTGTCTTAACTTCTCTTTGATAGCCACAGTACGAGTTCTAAAAATCTGTATATTGAAAAGTTGAAACTAATTGATTGGTTAAATTTTAGTTAGCAATGGACTTTCTTTTAAAAGGGTATCATATAATTTAATAGCGAAAGCAAACAAATCTAGGGAATATAGTCTTAACAAGTAAATTTGAGTAGTGGGAAAGAGGGAAGGAAGAAAAGAAAGAAGGAAGGAAGGTAGAAAGGGGAAGGAGGGAGAGAAGGAAGAAAAAGAAAGGAGGGAGGGAGGGAGGGAATGACTCCAACACACAGGCTGGCCAGTATCAAGTATAATAAGTATATAAAGACAAAAAAAGTTGAATTGCTAATTCATGCTCAGCCTCTCTTGGCTACTGCTGGGGAATGGACAATTTGGACAGTAATGGAAGAGACCTATGCGCTCCCTAAAATTTTTAGCACAACCAATTAGTGTGATAGGGAAGTTTTTGCTACTGTAGACGAGCGGCTTTAAGGAGCAGAGAAAAATCTCACCACCTTTTCAAGGAGATATGGATGACACATTCTTCATTATAAATTGCTCTGGGCGCTTTGGGTTCCATGGGCATAGTAACTATAACTATATATAAAACATAAATAAATTAGTGGACTTCATATCTTAAAAGATACTTGATTTACATTAAAAGTCCCATTTTTAAATTGTGCTTATTTCTCCCATTAAGATCAGGTACGGGCAGGATGTCATGTGTCTGCATTGCTTTTCGTAAGGACCGAATGGTGCAGGGACGTGTGCGCTTCTAGTGAATGTCTGTGCAGAGCGGGGGTGGGGATGGGGGGGTGCCTGGACATCACCACTTATCTATTCTGGGTGTGGATTCATGGATTCCGTATAGTGAAGCACTTCCATAGAAGAGGAACTATTTTAAGTCCTCTGCGAGCCACGTAGAGGGCGCTAGAAGCCAAGAGTCAGCCCTTTCTCCTATCAGCTCAACCGATAAAAGATGGATTTTAACCTGGGTGTCAGAGGACCACACCCAGGTTAAGGGCGCACGAGCACCCAGAGGTGTTGCCTCAGAAGCCTGGGACGATAGAAAAGACAGTAAGAAGCCTGCATGAAGGCTGCAATCTTTACCATTTGTGTATGGTCTGCTCTTCCCTCAGGAGTTAGAACCCGGGGAAGTGGAAGGAGCAGCCATGTTTGCAGGCGTCTGGGGCCAGTCGCACGATAACCTTACTGTGTGTTTATCAGTGGCTCCAAATTTGGCTTTTCAAAATGCCAGGGTTTTAGAAGAGCTTCAGATCTTCAGAAAATATTGGGATTTAAGGGGGGAAAAGTCTTTTGAACACACCTAGAACACTATAAACCAGTGATGGCGAACCTTTGGAGCTCGGCGTGTCAGCATTTTGAAAAACCCTAACTTAACTCTGGTTAAGTGTCACATATAGAAATGTTTTGATATTTGCAACCATAGTAAAACAAAGACTTATATTTTTGATATTTATTTTATATATTTAATCCATTTAACAAGGAAAAGTGAACCAAAAAAATGAGTTCCTGTTTCACCTCTGACATGCGTGTACATAGGTTCGCCATCACTGCTATCAACTACCATGAAGAAGGTTTTAGATCGCTATCTGCACAATCTTTCCTAGCTTTCCCCCTTTACATCGAAGAAGAGTATTTAGCAAAAAGCACTTTTTAAAAATGACAGTTTTCTAAGTAACAAGCTTATACAAAATAGCAGTCACTTCACCCAATTAGAAAGCTTCCAAAGATCAACTCCCCTGGTGGTCCCTATTTCCTCAAACTGTCCTCTTGCCACTGTACCCCTAAGAGAGAAGGTAATGCTTAAAAAACATGTACATTTGGCAGATCATCCAGGCTTTCCAAGGGCAGGCAGGCCTTCCTCTCCCTGATGGGCGGTGTTTTCTTTAGGGGACCACTCCCGAAAGGTCTCTGACATACACAGAAACCCTCTCCCTCCTTTAAAAATCTCTTGGGAATTTACAGATTTTCAAAAACCTATTAGAGTGGAGCACAGAGGACTTTTAGGACAGTAAAACTACTGTGTGCGACGCTATAATGTCATTATACGTTTGTCCAAGTCCATAGAATGTGCTGCACCAGGAGTGAACTGCAATGTAAACTGGGTGATGCTGATGTATCAGGATAGGTTCCTCTGTTGTAACAAAGGTACCACTTTGGTCAGGGATGTTGATAACAGGGGAAGCGGTGCATGTGTGGGGCCAGAGGGTCTCTGAGAAATCTCTATACCTTCAACTTATTTTGCAGTGAACCTAAAACTGCTCCAAAAACACCAAAGCCTAAAAAAAAAAAAAGGAAAAAAAAACCTCTAGCAAGGAGATTCACATGTGTTATCTTGGTCTTTACTTAACCAATAAAGGCCATTACAAATAGAATATTATTATTGGTCATTACTAATGAAGGAGATAACAAATCAACATCTTCTCAACTAGGGAGCAGTTTAGAATCTCTAACATTATGCAGCAGGTGATTCAGACATAACAATACTAGGCACAGAATAAAAATAACTTGCTTTGCTTGGTTTTAAAGAAACTGCTAAGATGTGAAAAGAGCAAGTCGGTTCCATTCACTTTTGTTCACTTTGTAAATGGGTTGGCTCATGGCCTGAAACTTGAATTCTTGGGAGAGCCATTTATATCTTCAAATAAATGGGTTCAATATTCTAACGTACACCAATGGTTAAAATTTAAAATTAGTTTACTATAGTTGAGTTGATCTTTTTTAAAAAAAATCAACCTTTGGGAAGAGAGAGGTAGAAGTCAGTCTAGATCAGCGGTTCTCAACCTGTGGGTCGCGACCCCTTTGGCGGTCGAACGGACCCTTTCACAGGGGTCGCCTAAGCCCATCCTGCATATCAGATATTTACATGACGATTCATAACAGTAGCAACATGACAGTGATGAAGTAGCAACGAAAATAATGTTATGGTTGGGCCACAACATGAGGAACTGTATTTAAAGGGCCAGAAGGTTGAGAACCACTGGTCTAGATTAATAGAATTTATAGTTCAATCATGATGAATTTTAAAAATACATTTTTCTTTCAATAATTACTTTATGTTCTAAATGAGGTAAAATTTATAAAACACACACTAAAGTAATGTTGAGGGCACTCTGGTGATAATAGGGATGAGGTTTATTTTTGTCAAAACGTCAGAGGGATACGTTAATTGCGGTTGGTCAACTGTGAACTTCACACCACACTGTCCAAGGTTAGAAGATTAATGGGTACCTCTCCCCATTAGAGAATCCTCACACACACACACACACACACACACACTTACTCACAAACGCCAAACTCAACAAATATGGAACTGACACGTCTTTCAATCAAAGATTCGCTTAGGACCTCACTGATGGGTCTTTTGAGTCACCCTCGATCGGGGTGACAGGAGACACAACCTCCCCAGCCTGTCTCATTTTAGAAACCCTTGGGTGCACTCACATTTGCCCGGGCTCACACCCATACGTGACTGAATCAAGCTTAAAAGCATTAGACATTACTGGCATTTGCCATCAAAATAAATAAGAGAAATGAACTGTTCTTCATATCTAAAAACAGCCGAAAGTTGCCGACATTGAAAGGGAATGGTTTGAACTTGAGCACCATGAGCTGGGGTGAAAGCGCATCTCTGTCGCCGTGGTAGGTCTGGATGCGGTTAGGAAGCTGGCGGGACAAGTCTGAGGCCTTGTCGATTTCTGCTCCACGAACAGAAGCTGTGCTGTGATTTCAGAACAACGGGACACAGAGCAAGCGAAGCAAAACTGTGCAGTGTTTCTTCTTAGGTGGATGTCCCCGAGGCGGGGATGGGGGTGCTGGGGGCTGCGGGAGTGCTTTTTGGTAGCGGAAATCCAAGTCCCAATCCCTTTGGCCTCTGCATGGCTTGAATGGGCTCGGCCAGCCCCTTGCCATCGCGTCCGAGGCCCGAACCAGGTGTCCAGCCCATGTTCTGGAGCATGCGGTTCCCTATGTTGTTTTCTGAGATGGGCTGGGCGTTTTCCCCAACGAATCCTGAAAATGTAAAATGACAAAGGATGTTAGTCCTGACACAGGCAAAGGTCTTCTCGGGCCAAGAAAACCACGCTCTCTTCAGTTTCCTTTCACAGAGGCACCTGGGAGGGAATCTCTTACTTACAAAAAAATACATAAATGCCTTACCAAAATACTTCTTTAATACACCTGAAACCTTGTCATTTTATTAACCAACTAGTGCCCCATGCACAGATTCGTGTACATGAAAGGAAATTAATTAGAAAAAATATTTTAATCGCTCTTCGCCCTTTCTCTATAATAGAAGTGTCAACCAAATTCATGATCCACATGTCAGATCGAAACATACATGTTTGGCACCAGCAAGAGCTTTATATGTATCACACATGCATGCATCAACTTAGCCTTTCAGATTGCCAGGCGCGTCAAATATATCGGCTGGTCGGTCGGCCAGATGGTCAG